AAACCCTAAACCCTAACCCCCCTAATTTTGAAAACTACCCAGCAGGTGCGAGGGTACATGGAGAGCCAAGCCGTCACAACTGGCAGCAACGCGCTGGGGCCCGAGAGTGGCATGAAAATTCGAGGTTTACCTATAGTCTCCATTGTAGTCCCTTTTTGAGGTTACCTTAGAGGATCCTTAACATAATATTGGCTAAACCAAAGAAAGGAACTACAATGGAGACTATAGGTAGGGTTTGTAGGACTTGCATGTGTTTGTTTTAGGTTGAAAGGGCCATAGGGTCTGAAGTTTCGCTTCCCTCTAATTCCCCTTAGCTATTTGTAGGGCTTCCTGCTTGCCAGCCGAACGAATGCCATTCTTTAGGGCTCCTGAATATATTAGTACTACAAAGAACCCTGAAACCCTGTTCTAAATATGAAGTCTTATATTGCCGCTGCCAGCGAGTTGCAGATACTGACGGACCTGACTCGGACCAGTGAGACCCGACAGCCCATGAGCTCATACCCATCTTATTTTAGGTTTAGGCCGGGTTTTAGGTCTCCAGGAGACCTACCCTACACCCCAACAGTCGGTAAACTGACGGCCCAAAGACAATTACTCTACGTACTTTGGGGGTCCAGGAAGAAGCCCTGAGCCCAAGACCGCAAATCGCAAACCGCCAATGCTGAGTCGCGAGACTTCTCTGTCGGTGCGACTCATGCATGAGTTTAGGGTTTAGGATTTAGGGTTTAGGGTTTAGGGGAGTGATCAGCAGCAGGCGTCGGCTTGCAGGCAAGCCGGACGGGACCTGCATGATTTCGGGCCCTTCATTATGATTAGAACAGGGTTTGTGGGTACGCAAAACCACCGCTCCAGCTTTCGGATTACAGAACAACATCGTGCCACTGACTCGTGAAGAACGAAACTTTCCTGCACATGCAGCAGCTTGGAAACTCACTTCTTCAGCAGCTTCATTCCTCACCTAAACTGTGAACCTCAGGCTCACCAACACTACAAGAATCCCGGAATGGGTTGAAATGCCACACCCGTCCCCTCGGCCCTCTAATCGAAGGTCTTCCATCTATGCGGTGGCCGAACTCTTGGTGGCCCTGCAGACCAGCACTGCAGAGGAGCCGCCCACCGTCAAAATGTCTTAGAGCTCCCTTATGCACGGGTTGCCCAGGGGCCTAGTAGAAGTTCTTTTGGGCTTTGGTGTAGGAATGCGGGTTCATGGGTTCCTGGCTCTTGTGCTCAGAAACTCAAGGGCGAGGAACTCGGAATTGTTAAGAGAAAACGTCCTGGCCAGGGTTCCTTCTTGCCCCAGGAAGGGAGACCCAGGGTGAGGATCCTGCTGCTATCTTAGGGCGTATATTTGGGTGTTCGTTTCTGCTTTGAACTCGCACATCCAAGACTGATAAGCCAAGGCTAAGGAAATTAAGCGCCCTTGGAAAACTCTGAAACTCTGAGACCATGAGCCCCAAAGCCCACATGCAAATATCAGAAAACCACAAACCTCAACCCCAAACGCCGGGCCTAGACACCAAACCCCTAAACCCTAAACCCTAAACAACCCCGGAACCCCAAATCCGCACGCAAAGCTTCTGGAGCTCGCACAGCAGTGCAGGATCGCCTCCTGTGTCAGAAGCCCGAAGAGAACTCAGGCCCTTCGCCGACATGATGTGTGAGGTTGGGGTTTAGGGTTTGGGGT